TGTTTTTTTACTACTTATGACAAAAACCCCATTTGATATTTGGCACCTTTGTGTCACCCCTTTTAATTTACAATATTTTTAATCGTTAATGTCTTTAGCTACGACTAGTTTGAACTTAATTTTATTTTTCTACTAATTCTCAAAACCACTCCCTTGGGACACGACCCCAACCCTTAGTTGGGTTACTATATTATCGACGATCGTAGACACTCGTACTGTAGGTTAGTATCGTTGGTCACGATAAGCATTAAAATGGCACCGTTGCCGGGGAGTGGTATTGTTTGAGAATTTTTAGATTAGTAGAATTTTTGTTCTTTTTAGTTGTAGTTTACTAATTTAATTTCCAGTTTTGTTTTGAGTATTTGTGTGCCACAACAGGCCATATGAGTGCGAACGGGGATAATAGCTGCCAAACTGGTCACACAGTGGGTGGTGTTTTTCATCAAGACGACATCAATGATGCTAATAGTGTTTATCACCCGGCCGACGTGGGCAAGATGGGTGAACTTTCCATGCCACAAGCTGACGAAAATGTAATGTTCGAAGTCACCAGCGCAACACTCTAACTTATACATTCAAGAGGTTTATTTGGAGGGTTAGAGCATGAAGATCCGCACGAACATGTATGAAGCTTTGTGGAAGTGTGCACCCCTTTATCAGTCAAGAACCTATCTCAAGAATCCATACAGTGTTGCTTATTTCCATTATCATTGACTGGGGGAGCCACTAAATGGTTGGTTGAGCGCCTAAACAACTCCATCAAATCATGGGAGGAGCTAGTTATGGCATTTCACGAAAGATTCTTTCCTCCATCAAGAATGAAACTGAGAGACGATATTCAGAATTTCAAGCAACATGAGGGTGAACCAATTCACGAGTCATTGACAAGGTTCAAGAGATCTTTGCGTAAGTGCCCAACGTATGGGCTGCCAGGTGAATTGTTGCTCCAATACTTTTACCTTAATCTGGACTCGGTTAATAAAAGGATAGCTGATCAATTGGTGCAAGGAGGAATAATGTTACAATCATTTGAAGTAGTCTCATTTCTCCTAGATGGTATGACTAAAGTAAACTAGGCATGGTATACCAAAGATGATCAAGTTTCCCCATTATGTTTTCGATTAACGCAAGAACAGATTGAAAAAGAAAGGGGAAGGGATGAAAACATCAAGAAGATGTTATCTCAAATGGAAATCCTACAAGAGCACATGAAAGGGACACGTGGAGTATTTCGAGTTGAGGAGGGTTCTTCTTCCTGTTACTCAAGACCGGGGGAGAATCAAGGTTGGAACTCCAGAAGATACGAAGAGGGTTTCCACCCACGCTATCAACCGTGGGGCGGGAATCAAGGTTGGACCTATTATAGGGGTGAAGAACCAAGGAAATATTGACAAGATTGGGCTGAGCAGGATGATCAGGATGAGGACCATACTCACTTGAGTAAGAGCCCGAAATCTAAAGGGAGTGCAAGTAGTCCTCGGATAAATGATTTGCTATCGCGCATACTCAATAAAGTTGAGGGGTATGATGATTTGCTAAAAGGAATGAAAGATGACTTTTCATCATTGAACATTAAAGTAAATTCCCATGTTGATGCCATCAAAATGATGGAAGGTAAGTTGAGTCTATTATCAGCTCAATTAACATCCAAAACACCAATAGACTAAATTGAAAGAGAGTTGGTTGTAGTTACCCGTAGCGGTAAGGTGGCAATAGGGGATATTATGGAAGATGAGGATCCTCAAAAATATGAAGAGATTCAAGATGTGGAGGAAAAATATTTACCTATTCGACAAAGCCTTACTAAAGAACCACAGGAGGAAGCAAAGCAACAAGTTCAAGTTCCAAAAGTCATGCACCCTTTACCCAAGATACCTCCACCATTTCCCCAACATTTGAAAAAGAAGAATGAAGATGAGAAGTTCAAAAAAAATTGTCAGTATTCAAGAGCTTATCAATTAACATTCCTCTGGTAGAAGCATTGTTGGAAATGCCGAGATACGCCAAATTTATGAAAGAACTTGTTACAAAGAAAAGGAGTTTGGACTATGAAACGATTGACGTGCCCCATAGTTGCAGTGCAATTATGACAAATGATTCAATCACTAAGAGAGAAGATACTGGGGCGTTCACAATCCCTTACACAATTGGCATGCTCCAATTCGCTAAAGCCTTGTGTGATTTAGGAGCAAGCATCAACTTGATGCCTTATGCAATATACAAACAACTTGGTTTGGGTGAACCAAAGGCAACCACAATGAGACTCCTTATGGCTGATAGATCAATCAAGCACCCAGTGGGGATACTCTATGACATATTGGTAAAAGTGGATCGGTTCATCTTTTCGGCTGATTTTGTGATTCTAGATTGTGAAATTGATTCTGAAATCCCCATTATTTTAGGAAGGCCATTCTTAGCTACCGGGAGAGCATTGGTGGATGTTGAAAGCGAGAAATTGAAGTTTCATGTGAACGATGATGAGGTGACCTTCAATAACTGTAAATCCATGAAGCAACTAAGAAATATTCATGTGGTGTCTACTAAGGATGTGATAGATGAGGTAGTGGCAAGTGTGACTCATTTAATGTGCAAGAATGAACCCCTTGAATCTGTACTTGCCAATTATGATTAATCCAAAGTTCAGGGGTATGAGGAAGTGGTAGCTGCTTTGTCAGGATTAGGAGCATATTTAAGGAATCCAATCAAGTTGGATATCGACCTGAAAAACAGAGAAAGTCCCCCTGCAAAGCCATCGACAGAAGAACCACCAAATCTAGAATTAAAAGCCCTACCCTTTCATCTCAAATATGCCTTCTTAGGAGCCAATAATACTTTGCCAGTAATTATTACCGCCAATCTGCTTGAAAATCAGGTGAAATTGCTCATTGAAGTACTGTGGAAGCATATAAAAGCTATTGGATGGACAATTGCCGATATAGTAGGAATTCCTCTTGGCATCTGTACTCACAAGATTTGGCTCGACAGTGAATGTAAACCTAGTGTGTAATATCAACGGAGATTGAACCCTCCAATGCAAGAGGTGGTAAAAAATGAGATCATCAAGTGGCTAGATGCAGGAGTGATCTACCCTATTGCAGATAGTAAGTGGGTAATTCCGGTGCAATGTGTACCGAAAAAAGGGGGTATAACCATAGTCCCAAATAAAAAAGGAGAACTTGTGCCAACAAGACCAGTGACTGGGTGGAGAGTATGCATGAACTATCGAAAGCTTAACTCATGGATCGAGAAAGATCATTTTCCAATGCCTTTTATGGATCAGATGCTTGATCGGTTATTAGAAAGAGGGTGGTATTATTTTCTGGATGGGTACTCCGGTTACAATCAAATCTCTATTTCACCGGAAGATCAAGAGAAAACCACTTTTACTTACCCTTATGGAACATTCCCATTCAAAAGGATGTCATTCGGGTTATGTAATACCCCAACAATATTTCAGCGTTACATGCTGTCTATTTTTGCAAATATGGTCGAAGACACTATGGAGGTGTTCATGGACGACTTCTCAGTCGTAGGGGACAATTCGAAGAGTGCTTAACTCACTTAGGACAGTTATTCCAAAGATGCGTGGAAACGAATCTTGTTTTGAATTGGGAGAAATGTCACTTTATGGTAGAAGGTATTGTTCTTGGGCATAAGGTGTCACAAAAGGGGCTGGAAGTTGACAAGGTGAAAATTGAGGTCATTGAGAAATTACCCCCGCCGATTTCAGTAAAGGGTGTTCATAGCTTCTTGGGACATGCAGGATTTTACAGAAGGTTCATTAAAGACTTCTCAAAGATTGCACTCCCATTATGCAAACTCTTAGAGAAGGACATGAAATTCCACTTTAATGATGCTTGTGTGGCTGCATTTCAGTGTTTGAAAGAGAAACTAATATCCACTCCGATTATCATCAGCCCTAATTGGTCTGAATCTTTTGAGCTAATGTGTGATGCTAGCGGTATGGCACTGGGGTTGTGTTGGGGCAAAAGCGCAACAAACTGTTTCACCCAATCTACTACGCAAGCAAGACTCTAAATAGTGCCCAGCAAAATTACACGGTCACCGAACAAGAGTTGATTGCAGTAGTCTATGCATTTGAAAAATTCAGGGCATATTTGCTGGGCACCAAAGTAATTGTACACACTGATCATGCTACACTCCAGTACTTGATGGCAAAGAATGATGCAAAACCACGATTGATTAGGTGGGTACTACTATTACAAGAATTTGATTTCGAGGTAAAAGATCGAAAAAGATGCCAAAATTAAGTGGATGATCATTTATCAAGGCTGGAAGCAAGGGCGAATGTTGAGCATGAGGTTGACATAGATGATTCTTTCCCCGATGAACGAGTGTTTGCAATATCTCTCAAGCATACGCCATGGTATGCAGATTTTGCAAATTACATTGTGTGGGCTGATGCCGGATGAGTTGACCTTTTACCAATAGAAAAGATTCCTGTTCGATGTTAGAAAGTACTTTTTGACGAACCATACTTGTTCCGAGATTGTGTTGATCATGTCATTAGAAGGTGTGTTCCGGAAGAAGAAGCGGTAGAAATTCTCCATGCTTGCCATACATCTCCAATAGGAGGTCACCATGGTGGTGTTCGCACCACCGCTAAAGTTCTCCAAAGTGGATACTAATGGTCGTCACTCTACAAGGATGCACATGAGTTTGCAGAGAAATACTCTAAATGTCAGCAGCAAGGCGGAGTGTCTAGAAGACACGAATTACCTCTCACTCCTATTTTAAAGGTCGAGCTATTCGATGTGTGGGGGATCGATTTCTTGGGCCCATTTGTGAGCTCGTTTGGAAATAAATATATCTTAGTGGTTGTAGATTATGTTTCCAAATGAGTGGAAGCCATCGCACTTCCAAACAACGAAGGAAAAAGCATTGTCCAATTTCTGAAATGCTCCATCTTCGCAAGATTTGGCACTCCGAGAGCAATCATTAGCGATGAGGGATCCCACTTTTGCAATAAGTGGTTCTCAATGGCCCTGAGTAAATATGGGGTGAAACACAAAGTGGCAACCCCATATCATCCCCAAACAAGTGGCCAAGTTGAAGTGTCGAATCGAGAAATCAAAAGCATCTTGGCAAAGACAGTAAATGTCAATAGAACTAACTAGTCTAGGAAACTCGATGATGCACTATGGGCATATAGGACTGCTTCTAAAACACCTATTTGTATGTCTCCATATCAGTTGGTTTATGGTAAGGCTTGTCATTTCCCGTCGAGTTAGAACATAAGGCACTGTGGGCATTGAAAGCTTTAAATTTGAACTGGTCAAAAACTTCAAGGCAGAGAGTAGAGCAGCTGAAGAACTGGATGAATTAAGAATCAGATCATATGAAAGTTCAGCCATCTATAAAGAGAAGATGAATAAATGGCATGATACTCGGATACTCAAGCAGGACTTCAAGGTAGGAGATTGGGTTTTGCTATACAACTCGCGACTTAGACTCTTCCCCGGAAAGCTCAAATCCAAATGGTCTGGACCGTTTAGAGTAACGCGAGTGTTCATCAATGGTGCCATAGAAGTTGAGTATCAGGAAGTACCTCCATTTACAGTGAATGGGCAACGTCTGAAATTGTATCTGGGGTATTGTCAAGAGATTTCATTGGTCGAAGTGGTATATCTGGAAGACGCCTAAAGGCGTTGTTGTGTTGTGCCGCGACGTTAACTAAGGCGTTGTTTAGGAGGCAACCCAAATTCCCTTTAATTGCTTTATTTTTATTATTATCAGTACTTATTTCCTGGTAGTAGAATGGTATGTTGTTTCTGCAGGTTAAAGTACACGAGGTGTTTGAAAAAATGAAGGATGGAAAATAATAGATCGTGTCGGCAAATCGCCGAAGGGGTTGGCGAATCCAACCTTATCCGCCGTTTGACTCAAGACCTCATCAACACTGAAGCCCTTAGAACTCAGCGAGATTTGGAGATTATTTGCAAATCACCAACCATTTCGGCGATCACGATGAAAACCATCGTTTGGACCTTCCCAATGACTGAAGATTCTGTAAAACTCGGTGAAACAAGTAAATGAGCGGTGACACATCAACTGATCCGGCGATTCAGACTGATATCGTCGAGTACGCAGAAATTGGACGGCACTTGAGTACAGTTGAAACAAGATGGTTGTGAAGCATTCGAGAAAGTGGTTTGACAATAGGCGTATTGGGTTGTTTAGCGATGTTGTGGAGAGCTTGTTGAATTACTCAACGACTCGCTTAACGTCCCCACCTCGCCATCTTTTTAATGCTAAAATAGTGGAAGGTCTACACAGAAAAGTCGTTGAAGAACCATGTCGTCCTGACAGATGGAACAACCGCATAACCAGGATCACTTCTTTACCTCTCTATTTGTCTTACTTATTTTTAGTGTTGGGTGCTTTTATTCGCATTTGAGGACAACTACTTTTATTTGTGGTGGGGCCCACATTTTGTGTGCTATTTGTGTTCGTGCTTTGTATATACAGTTGGGTTGTTCTGTTTAAAATTGTTACTACACTGCTTTTCTGTGGATGTTTGACCTTGTGGCTCCGTTTATTTTTATTTCCAAAATGATTTTGACCACCCGTCATGAGTTGATATGGCTGTTCTTTTACAAGAAATTTGAGTCCCGATTTTGATCAATACCGAGTACTTGAATAGTGCTCTCAATCGAACGAACATGAATGTACGGCTACAATGAGGCCAAATGAAGTTACATAGACAATATGTGAACTCTTTGCATCTTTTTGTGATTAATCATTTATCGAATTCATTCTCTTGTAATGACCGTTGCACACTAGCGAAAGTGTGGTCTTGTTTGACTTAAGTGTCGATGCCTTGTGTGATTAGCTTGCCTTGAACCTTGCATGAATAAACCTAGAATTTACCATGTTAGTCTGATTGATTTAGAAAGGTGTGCTCTTGAAATGATCTTAGGAAACTTTAAAGATTGTGAGGCAAATTTGACATATACCTCTTTTGTGGCCTACCCCTGAGCGTGTGAAACTCTTTTGAACACCCTTTGAGCCTTATCTTTCTTTGAAAGTACCTTGATGAACCCTAGACCTTATTTGACCCACTACCTATAATCCTCTTGATTTGTGGTTTAGCGAATAGCTAACTTAGGCCAAAGTGTGGTAAAAAGGAAAAGGAGAAGTCAAGAAGTGCAAGAAAAGTCCCCTTTAACCCTTGGTGTTGCAAAACAATGGAAACCCTTCGGAAAAAAAAACATATTTGTGGAATAAAGTACAAAGGAAATTGATTTCCAAGCAATCCATGGAGGTGAATAAAAAGATGATTTAGAACCACTAGAAAAAGAATTGATAAAGGAAAAGAAGGGAATGCCTTGGGAATACCACATTACAAGCCTTAGAAAGACCTTTTTGATCTTGAGTAAGCCGAATCGAAAGTCGATTGGAAAATAAGCGCAAACCTATGGGTAAAAACATGCATTGTGTTCCTCTTTTTGAGTGTGAGTGTTGCATCTGATTCTTGATCTTGAATAGATTAACCTCTGTGTGTGAATATGGAATCATTCTTTATGTGAGGACATTTAGATACTTCCTGTTGAGCTTGATTGCACAAGTAGCAAGTATTGCGAGCATGAGAATCTTTGGTAATGGTGTGTCACAACTTGAATCTTTGAGTACACAATTGATCTTTGCATGAGTAATTTGACTCTTACTCTTTGCATTCATGAGTTAGTCTTGTGTAGCACTATTTGAGACACCTTGTTAAACGGTTGAACTTGAGTTTGCTTGAGGACAAGCAAAAGTTTAAGTTGGGGTGTTGGGGTGTTGATGAGTCCACAAATTGGACTCATTTAGGGATTTATTTTGATAGGAATAGTGTCCTCAAATGCTTATTTTGTCTCAATATCTGATGAAAACTCTTAAGTTTCAGATATTTGAGGTTTTAGTGGAAGCATGGACACTTAGGCGCAAAAAGGAATGAAAAGGCTGAAAAGAATGAAGAAGATGAAGCATGTGCATCGAACGGACGCACTCCGCCCTTTGTTCCAGTACGCAAACCCTCGAAGGAGCAGGATCAAAAAGGCGATGAAAGGAGCAATCGGCGTTTCGCCGAATAATTCCGCAAGGCAGTACTAGGTCACCCAATGACACAGAGCACGACGATGCTGAAGGCTAGTGCAAGACGGCGACGAACTACACCAAAGGGTGAATCACCGAGTTAATCGGCGATTCCGACTAACCTCGCCGAAAGATCCGCCAGCACTATTTTCTGAAGTCTATAAATACTAAACTTGTTATTAATTTTTAGGAGTCGAACATTTATTTTAATTTCCAGAATAGAATAGTACTTTTTGGGATATTTTCTCTCAAGTTTGGAGAGGGTTTTAGGGAGACTTGAAAAATGAAGGATTTCATCTTTCCCAAGTTGGAAGTGGATCTTCTCCATTCTTCTTCATTTGCTTAAATTAAGATTTAATTTCTTATAACCATTTTATTTTAGTATCATTTTAGGCGTATTTTATTATTTCTTGATGTGTAGCTAAAAACCCTCATTCTTAGGGTGTGATTTAGCAAATATGTGTTGATATTGTTGTTGGGTCTTGCTTGCTGATAGGATAGATGTGTTTTAATGGTGATTTCACCTAGTGGTTGTGGTTTAATTTAATGGGTTTGTAGATACAAATACAAAACCACCCATGTTTTTTCGGCTTTCCCGACAGGGAGGTCGCGGAACTAAGACCGCTAGACTGATGGCCTAAGGAGTGGGTCGACATGAGGTTCAGCCCGAGAGGGTGAGCCCTAGTCCCATATCCTAACACTTAGCTCGAGAAAGTGAGTGGGGTAAGGCGTAGGTTGGCCTTCATGCGGCAAATGGGTGTCCAAGAGGAACGCATTTGAAACGTGGTAAGTTGCCCGAGAGGGAACTTATTTCCATCTAAAGCTTAGCCTAGTCACTATTATCTTGCAAATTTCCTATTGAAAGCATGTACCCAACGATTTATCTCAACTTGTATTGCGGTCACAACCCAAGAACTTGTCCCTATACTTGATCTTCTTATTATTTTTGTTGTTTTTTTACTACTTGTGAGAAAACCCCCATTTGATATTTGGCACCTTTGTGTCACCCCTTTTAATTTACAATGTTTTTAATCGATTATGTCTTTAGCTACAACTAGTTTGAACTTAATTTTATTTTTCTACTAATTCTCAAAACCACTCCCTTGGGACACGACCCCAACCCTTAGTTGGGTTACTATATTATCGACGATCATAGACATTCGGTCACGATAAGCATCAGCAATTGAGAACCATTGTTGGCCCCAAGCAAACCCTTGTCCTGGCTTACTACTTAGCAGAAGACTTACTCATTATAAAAAATACTTTAAAAGTAAATTGAAATCTCAATAAATAGCTTAGAATGTATAAAGGAACACTCACTAGCCAAAATGTCTCTCAAGTCTCAAACATCAAAACAGGTATGGAATGACTCAAGAACTAACATCAACTAACTGTCTATGAAACCTCTAACAACTGAGATGGAAGTTGGGACAAGACCTATGGCATCCTAATGAACTAAAATGATAAAGTAATGAAAAAGGGGTCCTTCCGGAAGCAAGGAGGCTCACCAACAACTCTAAAGCTCAACTAGAATCAACAATGTGCTGGATGTTGATCCTGGTCACCTATATTTGCATCATAAAATAATGAAGGCCAACAGGCATCAGTACATTGAATGTACGAGCATGCAAGGGGAATACTAAAACAAGACATAAGCTTGAAAGGAACTGAAGGAACATACCTGGTCTTAAATCAACTCAACTCATTTCAATATAAAGCAAATGTAAATGCAGTATAGAGAAAAGCTTTCAAAACATGGATAACAACTTTGTGTATTTAGAAATACAATAGTAACTCTTTATGTATGCAAAGATACAATATAAACTCTGGAATGTATATAAAAACACAATTTACTTTTGTGTATATAAGAATACAAAATACTTTTATGAGAGTTTCTCAAACTGACAACCATCACTTAGGAGCTATGTGATGATACAGCGTTTTGCCTCATGCTACCAGGGTTGTCCTATACCTTGCAAGGGGCATAGAACCTAACTACTAAGTGGATACACTAGTCTATGCTAAAAAGCACTAAGGAATCGTCTAAAAAGTATGACCCTTTTCAACCCATAATGGCTACATGGTTTATGGGGGCTGGGAGTTGCCTGAACTTTACCTCATATCGGTGCTCAATACTACTCCCAAAATATACTAGCTCATATGTTTAAAAACATAACTCTGTGGTTTGAGATAATTACTCAAAACTAGCCCAAAGGCTTTCTTGGAAATCAGTATTTCCTCTCTTGCTTAATTGTGAAAGAATTTACTCTTTACTGAAAACTAGATCAAAGGCTCTTTTGGAAATCGGTGTTTCCTTTCTTGTTTAAATGTGAAAACATTTACTCTTTGGGAATACATAGTCCCCATATAAACTTTTAAAGAAAGGAACTTCACTCTTTACTTTTTACTCTTTACTCAAAACAAAAGTCTTAAAACAAGTTAAAGCATTTGCAAAAGACTTTTGAAAGGACTCTAAGAACTCTCTAGACTTGGCTCTTAAATTTCCTTGAATTTGAAATTTATGGATTCAAGGTTGTGATTTGTGATAGGAAAGATCTCGTGATGTTTAG